ACTCTGCAACAAAATTCATTGGGGGCCACAATGATGTAAGCACTTGCTCTTGTTAATTTAGTCGGTTTGAAATCCATTCTTGCTGCCAGTTATCATGTATTCAAACAAGAAATGTGTAATTCTCCATTTCACAGGTTCTTGCTGGTTGCATTAGTGGTTCAGAGAAGTTGGTTACTGAAATTCGTACTTTGCATCATATTTTGGGTGGTACTCTCAACCCGGTGAGTTGTCCTTACCTGAATCTTGATCTAGTAGTTTCAGTGTCTCATGTCAGAACATACATATTTGTCTGCCTTAGCCTTGAAGTAGATTTTATTTGGTAATTATATTCGGTCAAGAGTGCTGGATCTAAAGGTGGTAGGTCGGGCTTCTTGTCTAAGAAGAATATGTTGTGTTATTTTAAGAGATGCTTTAATAACTTCCACCTTATTCTTCAAAGATTTGTGCCCTAGTAGTTCTCCATTATTTGTTACCAGGTTCACAAAGTAATATGTATTGTTTGCTACATATAAACAGAATGCCGCTTACCTAATCATCAGAGGCATGAAGACGCTACATCTTCGTGTACAGCAACATAATTCAACAGCATTAAGGATGGCCGAAGTTTTAGAGGCACATCCTAGGGTATGTATTTATGTGACATTCCCTTCTCCATTATTGTATATGTACATTCCATCTGATGCAACTCAAATTAAGGACCAGAAATGGGCAAAAATTCTAAAGAAACTGAAGTCAGTTTTTTTAAAAAAAGTGAAGATGAGCATGTGAATCAAGTTGGCTGCTGTTGGGTTTTGACGTTTCAATGATTATTTCCAATAGATATGATAGTGCTGTTGATATACTTTCAAGTTTCAATAGTTGTGATAGTGCTGTTGCATCTGGTTCCCAGCGGTAACATGTCTCAACTGTTGTCTGTTGGTTGCATGTTGTGTTTGCATGGTATAACTGGTTGAATAACCGCCTAGCTGTTGGTGTTGTCTTATTTTATAACTATGTATTTATCTGATTTATCATTTATGACTTCTTTCAATTTGGAAAATTACCTATTCTCTTGGCTTATTAAATATCAATGGCAGGTGAGACGCGTGTATTATCCGGGTTTGCCAAGTCATCCAGAACATGAAATTGCCAAGCAGCAAATGACTGGCTTTGGTGGTGTGGTCAGTTTCGAGGTTTGTTTTCTTTAACTACTGTAACCTTGTACCTTGGAAATTCATCTTTAAAATTGAATGAAGTTGATGCCTACTAAATCATTCAGGTGGATGGAGACTTGATGACCACCATCAAGTTTGTTGATGCATTGAAGATTCCATACATTGCTCCATCCTTTGGTGGCTGTGAAAGCATTGTCGATCAGCCGGCTATAATGTCCTATTGGTATGGCACTATTTGCGTCTTATGTATGGATCCGTACTGCTTGAGTTTATCCCTCTAATGGACTCGATATTTAGTGCAGATTGATATAATGTTATGTTATTAAATAGGATTGTTAGGAACTTTGGACATAGATGGAGATCGTCCTTGTGTTTGTTTTGACATGATATGTTTGATTATGAAACAGGGACCTTAGCCAAGCGGAGAGGCGCAAGTACGGGATTGAGGATAACTTGGTTCGTTTCAGCTTCGGAGTTGAAGACTTTGAAGATTTGAAGGCTGATGTATTGCAGGCACTGGGTAGCATATAATGGGCGCTCATAGCCCCTCCCTCCTTTAAAAGTTATTTCGATGTTTCAATTGGCGTTGAAGTTTTCTGGCATTAATAAGTTGAAACTTTGTTTGTAATCCCATCAATGGGGGATCCATTTTCTGTTCTATAAATGTTTGTTTCCGCCATCAAATTTTCACACAAACAAGCTTAAGCAGGAATATCACATACCGTAATTCAGAAAAAGGAATTTCAGTTTCTGTTTGAATATGAAGAAAATAATGGTATGAAGTAAAGATAAAAGTTGATATATTATATATATAGATTATTATAAGTTTGTTTTTTTCGTATGAAATTTTTTAATTTTTTTATAAATCTATCATAAATATAAGGCGATGTTTGTTCAAATATTCTTAAATATTTAACAATGTATGCTCATACTATTAGTATTTGCAGTATTTAAACTCAAGATATCAAGGAATAATGAATCAAGATCTCAAGAAATAACAGTAGGTCCTTCAACAATTAAGGCAACTTGGATCGCATCAAAAATATTATATTTTAAATATTAATATTTTAATAATGAAATTTAATATTAAAAGATTATATTAATATTAAATATATAAAATAAAAGTGAAACTATTTAAAAATAACAGCAGGCTGAAGTGAACAGTATTTTGTAGGTTCATGTGGATTGTGACATTGTAGATGTTGGAATGAAATTAAACATATATTTAGATATCTTATAGTAAGAGCTTATTTTACTCAATATGGTTCAAAGTTTCAATTAGTTGCATATGAATGACTTTCTTTTGGCTTTTTTTTATTAAAAAAAGTTAGTGTTCGAGATTAAAATATAACTGCTTAAAGATGTTAAGTAATGTTGTCATATAAGAGGCAGTAAAAGATATATTATCCAATTTTTGTTTCTTTAATCAAATTTTGTGATACTGAATTGCCTAATAAATGTTTCTAATGATCCAATAATGCTATATTGTACACTCCGTTAGATTTGATCACATTGTGTTTTTATGGTAAGATTTTTAATAAGATCATATCACATGATATATATTATTGTTGATATCCGTATTATTAAATAGCATAAGTCATTCTTTTTATCTAAGATAAATCACTTATTATTTATCTTTCGTACGTATATTTGATTTTGTATGTTTTTATCATACCAAAGGCCTTCGCATCCTTCTCAGCAGGATCCTTTTATACTAGTGTAGCAAGTGGCGACAAGTCCTCTATTGTCGTCGGTTCGAGCAAAGAAAAACTAGACCAAGAGAGAAGCACTCGCCAAAGTAGAGAGGTCGCCGACGAGAGTGTTATAGGTGCCCTAACTGAAATGCTGCTACATCACCAATGGTTCGTTCCGAATGGTCTATTTCAAGGCTTAAGACGGAAGGAAAAACACCAATGAAGATTGGGGCAAGTTTGATAGCGACCGCAATGTTGTTTTTTCATGTGTTCAAGTTTTAAGATCCCATTAATGCATATCGTCGAAGTGAGACTATATTTACCTATCAAATGAAATAACACATGAAATAGATCATTCGGGGCGAGCCATTGGCGATATAGCAGCATTTTCAGTTGGGACACCTGTAACTCATGATTTTTTTGTTGGTTAAGAAAAAAAATTAAAAAATATATGATAAATAATAATAAATTTGAAAGAAATCTAAAAAAATAACTAATGATTTTTAAATCTAGGTTACATTAGTAAATAAAAAAAAAGAGTAGAATAAAATACGGAGATTTGATGCTTGAAGATTGGAGAGGATGAGATAAAGAAGGATATTAATGAAATGAAAATTTTAATAAGGATATATGTTATGAAAAGTAAATGTGATTGCTAGTCATTTAATTAGATAGGAGCAATTGATGAGGTGGTGAACAGAGTTCATGAAATAATTTCTCGATTTATTGGTTTTCACGTTGGAGAATAAGCTATCTTACTCCAAATATTGAATTTTCTTGAACCCATATTATAGATGACATAATTTGAAAATACTAACTTTAAGCTCTATCATGCTTGTTTAAACTACGCAAAGACACAATTTGAAGGTATTTACTGGTTTATAGTACTGATCTATTCAAATAGCTTTTAGACGACTGCGAAAAACATGGCTAAACTGGCCATTAAAACTCGTCACTTTCCGGAGACCATATGAGAACTGCAAGAATGGGATGGAATGGAAAAACGCGTGATTTCTAGGAAGGTTTGAGCATAGATGCTAAGCAGGGTTAGCATTGAGTTAATAGATTTTGTAGCTGCCTCATTTACATTATTTCCCAGTTCAAGCTTGGGTTTTGGAGGTTCATTGCTTGCTTACATATGGAACACACAAGTGCAACTGAGCTGAAAACGGTGTTTAGAATTCATGATTACGATAAGGAATGGGCATCTTTCAGGTTGTCCCAACCCATATTGGGTCGACCGGGGCTTGACACTGTAAGCAGCGAACGAAAAGCAATTGAACTAACAAAACTTTCCAATTTGTACCGGAAATCATGCTCATCTTGCAGACAAGAAGGGAACTCCAAGGGCTTAATAATATTGTTGATCAATCTCATTTCACAGTCGACGTAGAAGGAACTTTATACCCTGACATAAGAAGCAGAACCCCTAAAAATATGGAGATGCGGGGGATCGAACCCCGTGCCTCCGGCATGCAAAGCGAGCGCTCTACCATTTGAGCTACATCCCCTGCCGTTTCAATTGGTTCTCATATATATATATTTTTTATAATTATTTAGTTGTTGCTAAAGGAGATTTCTCGATTTTCCTTCGTTCAGATAATTTTAATGGATATCAAACCCTTTAAATATTGGTATTTTAATTCAATCAAATTATTTGGTCCGTTGGTTCGATAATAACAATGGGAAAAATGAAGACGAAATACCGAATTTTATTTCAACCAAATACCAAAACAATGAAAAGATTATACACATCTTGCATTCAGGGGATAGAAAGAGCAACATTTTTGACATCATCCAAAATTTCAATGTTTAGCCTATTTCAGAAGTTGGTTCTTTCAATGTTAGATTATTGGTCATTGTCACCAGAAATCACAACAGGAACATGATCCCTCCTTAAAACAATGAAACCGGTTCCAATCTCGGACTACGACTTCCCGATCATAGATCTTCGAAACAATCTTAATGGCAGTCATGGCACGGTTCCTGAAAATATAGAGGTTTACCAGGCTTTGTGCTTAGAACCAGGAAACACTTGCGCAACTGGATTAAGAACATATCCAGCTGACAGCAATCTTCGAATCATACCTTCTAACATGATACAATTGTCCCGGGGTTTTGTGTGTGAGTTATCACCTGCAATAAACTGCAATCAAGCTTTCCGAAGAGCATTCGCTTTGTCTTGCTTCCCTGCCAATGCATACACATTATGACTATCAAAATAATAAGATCCTTGACCTATCATGCCAGAATGACTGCAGGCTCTTAGAACAGCAAGAAGGGTTAAATCATCCGCCCTGACTTCCTTAATCAACTGCTGGAACATTTCGACCACAGCACCACCTCGTCCATGCATAGCTAATCCACTAATCATAGCATTCCATGACCTTCGTGGCATGCACTTGAAAACTTTGATTTCAGTATCTACCCTCCCACATTTTGCAAACATATCCGGCATGGCAGTTTCCACCATGATATCCATCTCCATCTCGATTGTCTTCAAGCCATAAGCATGAACCCATCTGCCCATCACCACGTCTCTGGACTGTGCACAAGCTGACAGTAAAGAACAAAATATTGTGTAATTCAATTTAAACCCCCAATGAAATAACATCCGACTCAAAAGCAAAAAGCCCTTCTTGCTATATCCATTCCCTACATAACCAACAACCATTACCGCCCATGCAAATTAGTTTCAGTGTGGCATATCATCGAACACCTCCATTCCGTTACCTACATCCTCCCACTTCAACACCCCATCTAAAACAACTGTCCATGACACCACACTCTTCTCCTTCATCTCAGACGTCGCATACATATCCACTAGCACTCTCCCTTTGAAACCATCTTCACCACACGCCCATGGCCCCGACTCCCCGCATCTAGGCACATGCACTGGACAAGCAAACCATCGCCACATCATCAATTTCGGTACTGTTTTCAAGCATTTGAGAGAGTAAAGCATCGTCAGACCTATTTTAATCATAATTCATAACAACAAAAAAGAAAGGAAAAGTGGAGATGCGGGGGATCGAACACCGTGCCTCTCGCATGCAAAGCGAGCGCTCTACCATTTGAGCTACATCCCCTACAGTTGCTTTTACTCCAGTATTATATATTATTTTAAATATAATAATTTCATTTGAATTCTTATATAATATTATATTTAGATAAAATGGTATTACCAATAATAAAGAATGTTAGATTTAATTATAAATTTAAATATAATTAGAGTTCTAAAATTTAGAAAAGTTTAAGAGGGAAAATATGTCATTTATTCTTTTTAGTAAAGTCATACATTGATTAAAATATAATGTATTTGTTGACTATCGATTCTTTTAAATAGAGTTAATAGTTTAACGATAAATTTATAACAAAATTAAATACCGGAGGTCAAATATTTTTTCAACAAAAAAAAACTTCAGAGATAACTTAATAGAGTATATAATTTGGAGAGCAAATCGTTCATTAATCCTCTATGTTATTATTTATGTTATCTCAGTTACGTAACATGATCATTATAAACGAATATGATCTAAAAAAAATTAAAGTTACTTCTATGGCAGTTTGATGCTAGTATGAAAGTCAAAAATAAACTTTTATTTAATTTTACTTTTATTTCATTAAAGTTAGTGTTTTCGTTTATTTTTAGTTGTCATTTAAAACCGTCATTTTCTAACATTTTTATGAATACCTTAGACACTAAAAGATTCGTCTCATTGTCTTTATCTATTTTATTGGTTTAATTTTTCTCAAATCCTTTTTAAAATCCGTGAAGTTAAACCAAAAAAAAAAATCTACTCTCTTGAGAGTTTTGGAGACTTTTCCGGATTTGAGAGATTTTAAATGTTTATTCAAACGATTAATAAAAACATTCTTTTAAAAAGAAAAACAACATATCTCAAAACAAGCATCATCGAAAAATTATTGAAAAAAATCAGAGTATTAAAATGTCAAAATTTGAAATGAATTTTCATCAATTCTAAGTAAATTTTGTAAATTCAATTCAAGAAGGAAAAAAAAAGTTGCAAACATTTCAATGCAAATCTTGTCACAAATGACAACCGATGATTAGAGGTGAGCAAAACTCGACTCGACTTAAAAAATCTCGACTCAAATTGACTTCGCGTTGTAATTTCATAAACTCGGCTCGAAAAAATTTAAAGTTCAAATCGAGTTGTATTTTACAACTCGAATAACTTGAAATTTTTACTAATTAGTAGATTGATTTTCATGTTTGAGTCGAAGCTTGAGTCAAGTCCCTCGACTTTGTATGGTATATATATATCACATATGAAAAAATACAAATATATATATATATATATATTATGATTATAAAATATCATTTAAATAAGAATCAAATGATGTCATAATATTGTAAATATTTACAATTAAATTTAAATAGAAACTCGAAAATTTGACTCAAGCCGACTCGAAAAAATTTCAAATCAACTCCGAGTTATAAAATGACTCATCAACTCGAACAACTCGAAATTTTTTTACTCGACTCGCTCGATCGAACGCTCACCTCTAGCGATGATAAATGATAATTGCTCGATAATAATGATCAAAAGATTTCCCCCCTAAAGATCAAATTGATACGTAAATTAGTATTCAAGATTTAAAATTAAAACGTTCTAAATTTAATAATAAAACCGATGCATATAAGGAAAAAGTAATTACATTATTAATGACTTAATAGTTTAATGCTCTTGTTAAACCCAAAACTTAAAATAAGTAATAAAATTAAGACAATTTAAAACTCGGGGATAAAAACAATACACGTGTGCCATCCCTAAAAAACTTCTAAGAGTAAAAGCTCAACGCGGCAGAAGAAAAATAATATACTAAAAATAACAACTCATAATAATACGAAATTATTTCAAAATTTATATAATAGAACGTTATTTATTAAAATTTGTATAAAAAATCTAAAAATAACAAGCGTGTTAAGCCAAATCCATCCAAAGAAAACAGAAAATTAAATCTTACGGACAGTCACAATTGCAAGTCAGGAGAATAACGAAAATGAAAATGAAAATGCAATGTCTCTTGAATTAACGAAAGCATATATTTTTATTGGCACTCAAAATGGACAATAAAAATACGTCTCACAGGAGAAACCCACAAACCAAGATAGATCCAAGAGGGCGAAGAGATACAAATAATTGACTATTTAACAAGTTTGAAGTACAAAACAAGGGCGATTGCAATGACAAGGACCGCAATAATGATGCCAATGATCCACTTGTTCCTGCTCATCCTCCTTGACATTGCTGTCAAAATTCTCTTGCTCTTGCCAATGTTGTCATCCGCTCCATGAAGCTTCAACAGAAAAGGAAAAACAGCCGACAAGGTTCGAAATTTTTAAGTCTAATTACCACATAAGCCTTCGACTAGCATGTTCATGCAATTGGAAAGGTTTGCAATTAACCATTATATCTTAAGATGGGAAAATTTGAAGTCCAACTATCGAATAAGCCTTTGGTATTGCGAGCTTTAATCAAATTACAACTAAGATGTGAGAAAGGTAAAGTAAAAAAAATAGCATATGTACCGTGTTATCGGCATGTAAGAGAGCCTGTCGTTGTGAATGCAAATCCTGAAGAATTGAAACCCCAAGCTCTTCTGTTTCTATCATGGTTCTTCTGCTATCCTTAATTCTGCCACTGCTCTGATTCAAGCGCTCTGTGGTAGTCATTAATCTCGATCTTTGATCAGCTGATGCCTATCATATAGTCATTTATTATATAAGTAATCAAAAGTTAATTCGAAGTAAAGAAGATTAGTGATAAAACTACAGCATTTTAAAAGGCAGGTAGAAGAACCAAAACATACCGTGAGGGTATCAGCCATTCCAGACTCCAACAACTCATCTCTAGCAGCTGCATTCAAATTACCAGATGCAATTCTTTTAACTTCACTTTTCACATTGTTAAGATCTGATTTATATTCCCTTAACTTAGAAAGAAGTACAGCCTTAACATTTGGCTGCAAACTTCTAGCCTCGAGGTCCATCTTCCGAATCTGAGAAAAGAAGATAAAAGAATCAAGTTCAATACCCAAAACAACAGAAATACTAAAGAGGATTATTTGAGACAGGCAATGAACCAGGTACCAGAGCTTCTGCATTTTCCAATCCATCTCTTATATCAGAAAGTTTTTGTTTCTTCTGCTCTGCACATCAGAAAAAAACAATTATGAAATTTAAAGAACAATTGGCTCATTATAGAGGAAAACGCTTGAACAAGTAGAAAAATTTCTTATAGAAAGCATCTAATGAACTGACAAATTCACGATTCATATACAAGATGCAAAGTTGACCACACAGTCTTCTTTTTTTCTTGAAATGGAGTAAAAAATTAGAACTTTTGTTCCCAAGTAGAGATGCAACTTTTGTTCCCAAGTAGAGATGCATTTAATCGTTTTGGTTCCCTTGAATAGGGTACTCTCAACCTAAGTTGTTTGGACTCGGGCTCGAATGAGTGATACAAGTATGTATCCAACACGAGTATGCTTAATTTAATCTAATTTTTTTCATATATTTGGAGGGGCATATCCTTATACCTATGTCCAGATAGGTGCCCGATAAAGGCACTTAAAGAAAAATGAAGACTCAGGATGAAAATCGATCCAAGCCATATAAGCTCTATGCCATTGTTTACACTTTGTACAGATGACCTTTACCAATTAACAGAAATTCACCTTCTTTGCTGATTCAGAAATTCAAATGGCATAGGTTTATTTCGTTTGCCTAATCTACAACCTTAGAGATAAAAATAAATAAATACTTTATGGTGAAAATAGACACCGGGAAAATCACGATTATTAACTAATTAGATTGAAATCAAAATTTAAAAACCGAAGTAGAGATAAAGAAGATCGGATCTTCTTTTCTTCATTCTCACATCCCCCAATTAAACGTTCTAATCATTATTTCTGTTTTTGTATAAAATAAAAATATAAATCCTGTCTTCAGAGCATTAGAAAAAGAGAATAACATAAGAATCCTTGCGCTATATTACAAAAAAAAGAACCGAACAAACAAATTAACAAAATATAGTAAAGAAAAAAATTGTTTATATATATATAACGATTTGAATTGTAACCTCCAGTGAGAGCACCAACAGCCGTACACTTTTTGGAAAGATTCGCCGATAGCTCACAATACTGCCGTTCATATCCTTCGAAAACTTCACTCATCTTTTAATTTCTTTTTTTACAAAATGAAACTCTTCTCCTTAATTTAACTGAAAATAGTAAAATTAAGATAAAAGAGCCAAATCATTGATCTGAATTAATGGAGAAAAGAATCAGAGAGAGTAAGGGTAAACCTAAGATGAAGATAATCGATGCTCAACGGTGGCTTTCGAAAATTCTCCTTTTCCTTTTACGTCGAAGGCGATCAAGACGACACCGCTTTCTGTCTTTTATGGTTATCGTTTTTCTTTCCCGTATAATGTGGGTAATGATAAATACACGCAGATAGTGGGATTACTTTTGAGGGTTTCGGGGTCTGTGGATGACACGTGTATAAGCTTGTGGTTATTATGGAGCTCGGTTTTAGTTTGCTGAACGATGTCAGTATGATTAGTGTTTCGAGTAATAGCGCAAAATTGTTCTATAATTACTTTTCAAATGTATAAAACTTTACTCCATACTTTAATTTTTTTAAATTATTTATTTAAATAAAATATTATTAATATGAAAAAATACATTTCAGAATATTAGTACGTATAACTCTAAAATAATATTAATATCACAAATTTTTGTTTCTTCAAACTTATTTATATATGTAACTATATTAAGAAAAATAATAAATTTTCCTGAGAGAAAAATAATTAATTTATATCGATATACATTAACTTAACAATATTTTTATTATAAATTAATAATTAAATTATTATCATATTTTAAAAATAATGTTATTAATTCTTTTATATTTTAGTATAGCTGTAAATATATGATCTATTTATCGATTGACTAATCCGAATTAAATACTATAAAATTTTAATATGAAATCAATCCTTCCAACTTAATTTATTAAAGAATATAATTTATTTTTATAAAATCTGTTCTATCAATAAAACAAACATTCTCTTATTATTAATCAATGAACTACCAAATTAAACTCTCCAACTCCAGACACGGCAAACTCCAAATTATATGGCACAAGATGCATCCTTCAGGCATGATGAATGCGATAGTGCCTCAAACCAAAACCCAGATTCTTCTGGGTCTCGAGCCATGAACAATAGGGTTGAACAAAATTCGATTTGATCTGAATTTTTTTAGAAAAAAAAGAGTTGAAAGATTAAAACATCATTTTGATATTTAACCGAGTAATTTGATGAAAATTCATTAAAATGATCCCCTTTAGTTCCATAAAACATTGTGGAAACCCTAATTATGTTAAAGGCAAGCTGTGTACCTGCAGATACACAGTGATATTGCCTTGGCCTCCACAATTACCCATCTAAAATGGAGGGTTCTAAAACGAAGAGGTGAAGTAAGCTTTCCTCCAAACTACCAAAAAAGAAGGAAAGAGAGTTATTCTTATTCTGTTGCATCATAGGAGATTCATTGGAAAGAGTCTTTGGAGATACAACCTTCTCACGCTAGAGGACCCTGAGCTGCGTGAGGAATGCAGCACAGAGATCCAAGAACAGAAACTGTGGTCCCTGAACCCTCTGAAGATCCAGCAAATATTTCTCCTCCCGGGTTTTATAAAGCTGTCGACAACATCCATGACAGCAAAAACAGTTTTAATCAGGGCTTTCAATAAATTACAACATAGCAGAGCTAGCCTAGCACCTTTTTTCCATAAAAAAAATTCTGATTGTGATCAGACATTACCTGCACTTCGAACTTGACAACATTTGGAGCATTGGAAAGACCGTCATTCTCTATAACGGTTGCTTCATCCCCAAAGTAGTGATTATTGTGCATGGCATTGTTAACCATGCCTTCATTAAGACCGGGAATGTTAGCAAGCCACCTACACTTCATGTTGTAATGACCAATCTTCTTCCAACACACATTGAGTTCTTGCAGGGCTTTGAGAACTTCTGTCATGATTTCACGAGGATGGGCACGAGACTACAAAAATAAAAACAGAATATCAAACTCAGGTGCATAAAAGTAGTCCAGCTATTGGTAGTCCACATCCTACATACTAAATCTAGTCTTAATTGTCAATCTTATCGACAAGTAGTAAGTATCAATGTAAAAGAAGCACTTCTGTGGGAAAACCACTTGAAAATCACAAACTCAACTTGAAGTCCAAGAGCCCATTTCCTCTCAAGTCCCCTTAAACCCATTGCTTGATAATCAGCATATCCAGAAAGGCGGTGTCCAACAGCTGGAACTGTAGGCTCATTAGGATGGATGCGGTTGAAGCCAGATTCCTAAAAGTTTATAAAAAAAATAAATTAGAATTCCAACCCTAAATGAAAGTCAGCAAAATAAAATTAAAATAGTGATACTGTAAAGTAAGAGAAATAGGTCACTGATCAGTTAGCTCTATTAGATCATGATTGATGAGTCTTGTTTCCTCGCAAATTGTAATTAATTCAATGAATGAGGCAGCTTTAGATAAGCAATGTTAGCGTTGAATTGAAAGAGTAAAAAATAAAAATGCACCATAGTTTCCTGAAACTCAGCTCCAAGATAGCCACTGGAGACCCGGAACAGATTGTCCAATAGTAGGTAGTAAGCAACAGTTCCCTGGAAAATACTCAAATGAAATAAGCAACTGCCAAAAAATAACGAAAACAAGGGTTTAGAGAAGTTCAAACCTCATTTTGAATTCTGTTGCGAAGAGATTCAATCAGATGGTTGCGATCAAATCCCATCCTAACCACTTCCTGAAGGATCTCCTCATCAATCTGCAATTATGTTTCAATCAGAAAGTAGAGCATCAAAATACCTAATATAGCAGAATTCAAATGTCGAGGCACTACTAAATGGTTTGCTAAATCTTATGATATGATCCAGAAAGCATTTAGGCAAGGCTTGAGTCAACAACCAAAAATTGGACGTTAAGGGATAGGTAAAAGTAAGGAAATAACTCTTTGGAGCAAACGATTTCCCAGGGTCCAATAACAAAAGGGACATATGGATAATTCAAGTCTCCCGTTTTATCATTAATGGCACAAGTGCTCAGAAGGTGTTTCCCATGAAACGAACTTCTGGAATTAAAATGAAGGAAAACCATGTTCAAAAGCTGACAATAGTTCAGAATTTTACAAGGACATGCAGTCTAGGTATATTTATTCAACCATAACGGTCAATTTTCACATCACACGAATCCTTTTCAGGGTCAATATCACAGTAAATAAGTACATTTACAACTGAGTTCAAGTCATAAAAAATATCAACAACCTTTTTCGCTTGCTGCATTGAATCTGGTGGGGGGACTGCTAAATATCTTGGAAGATGTGCTTGAAACCATGGGTGCTGGCGGATCTCGGGAATGGTCATTCTCTTCATTGGATCAACTACAAGCATCCGGGGGATTAGATCTCTAGCACCAGGGGATAAATGGCTTGGAAGAGTGTATATGCCACCCTGAAGGACAAATAATGCAAATTCCAAGCTATCAGCACTTTCAGGATTCAAGAAAGAAACAAAATTGGAAGCAAATTATGCAGTTTAGGGAGAAAACAGAAGCAAATCGAAAGCTGAAAAACAAGTAAGATATAAGTTGGAACTTTAGAAAAACATAGGGCTGTATAAACTTCTAGTTTCTGAAGTCTATTAATTCAAAGAAAAATAATAAAATTGGCTGTAAAGCTGTTTTACAACTTCTTTATACTAGGGTTACAAATAAAGTTTTACTCCTAAAGATAACTAAAAATCCTAACCATCTATCTATATGTCTAATAATTAATAAGACAAATAATAGATATACCTAATACTAAAGAGCTCCTGTGTCAAATATGTTGTTCAGAATATTGACAAGAGAGAAACAACATGAAGATCAGATGACCATAATCTGAAAATAAAGAATTACCATCAGAGTGTCAACAGAGACATCTCAGACAACAAACATGAAAAATGATGCCTCTTACCTTGATTTTCTTAAAGAGGTTGGGAATGTTTTCATCATCAAAAGGAAGGGTACCACAAAGAAGTGCATACAATATAACACCACAGCTCCATACATCCACTTCAGGTCCAGCATACAGTTTCCCAGAGATGACCTATAACAATGTAGATCCAATTAGTTTTGGATAATGTCATCATAACAAATTAACAATATAAAATTTTCTATCAAGTAAAAGAAGATAATGTTCCATTTTTTCAAGACCATAAATGGTAAGAAATTCATCACTAATTGTAATTCATAAACTCCTACCTCTGGAGCAGCATAGTTTGGGCTTCCACAACTTGTCTTCAAAAAATGACCATCTCTCATTATGTTGCTCAAGCCAAAATCAGCAATCTTTACATTACATTTGGAATCCAAAAGTAAATTTTCTGGCTTAAGGTCTCGATGGACCACCATATTTCTATGGCAGTACTCCACCCCTGAAATTATCTGGCATCCAAACAAAGTTTAATACTAATAATTTCCAAGAAACAGAATGCACATAAATACTAATGGTCAAGAATATCCAACTAGACCTGCTGAAAAAAGTTGCGAGCCTCATCCTCCTGCAATCTTCCTTTCTCTACAATATAATCAAAGAGTTCTCCAGACTTCACATACTCCATAACCACAAAAATGTCAGTTGCTGTCTCTATGACCTCGTAGAGTCGTATGATGTGAGGATGCATAAACAATCTCAAAATTTTAATCTCTCTTCTAACTGCACCAAGATGTAAGCCTCTTTCAATCAATCAATAAGAAAAGCTGAAAAAGGAAAACTAAAAGTGGAAAAGAGAAAACACTTCCGTATATTTCTGATGAGTAAAGAATAGTATATATTTTTTACATAATAATTAAAAAAAAATCCGAGATTTAGGCCAAAACTGGTCTAAATCTATTAACTGTTGCAAGGAATAGTTCAGTGTATTCAAGGGATCTAATTTCAACACAATCATAGGATAGGATTTGACTACCGTATGCAAGAACTCATGAAAAAGATGAGTAGAGAAAGCTACTAAAGGTCCCCTCTTAATTTTACTCAACAAATTGTTTCCAACCTACAGGAATAAATAATGATGAAACTTGGTCTTTCAAAATAATTATCCTATTTTCTTCTGAAAACAAAGTTACAAGTAGGAAAACAATAACCAAATAGAACCTAATAAATTCGAGTTTTCAATATGACAAACTTTTAAAAAAATATCTCGAACAAAAAGGGGAAATACTTGTGAAGAATTAAATTAATAAACTGTTAACTGAAAAACGAATTTTTCATCCTAATTAACAATATTCCTGAGTCTTAAAATTTTTCCCTCTTCAAAAACTAAAGAAAACCTTAAAAAACTCAACCATTAAAAAA